AAATTATGGGGACATAGGAACAAGGAGCTCTTAACTTAAAAATCTGGTTGAAACCTCTTGCCAGCTGAGAATCAACAATTCCAGCACAATTTATCACGTTTCTGTGAAGGGTTTCCCACACAGACATAATACTCCTTTTATAGGGAGAATGCTAACAAAGTAGGGAAAGTTATAGGCCCTGCGGGTACCTAACACTGTTGTTTTCCGAAAGGGACATCTTGTTGGATTGGAAAGCTTAGAGGTTAAGTGAAAAACTGGATGCTCTTCTGGAAGACTCGGGGCTCAATTCCCAAGCATCCACACGGCAGTTCACAACCATCTGTGACTCTAGTTCCAGAGGATCCAATGCACTCTCTGACATCTGTAGCCATAAGGCAAAACACATACAGGCAAAACATCAACACATATCAAATAAAATGATGATTTTAACTTTGTCAGACTACCTTCTAAATGGTTATGTCTATCTACATCCTTATACTAGAGTCTCTCGGCCTCAGAGAAGCTGGTTTTCATCGACTGTGGTTAATGCTGATGTTCACAACTAGTCAGAGTGGTAAGATCAAGTGACTGTTGAGTTCTCAGTCATGAATGGGACATCTCTACGACCCCTTCAAAGGCTCACAGAGCACCCATCGCCTAAAGAGGGAGCAGAAAGAATATAAGAGCTGGAAAATGAAGAACAGTGCTGTGAAACCCTGTCTTCCAAACATGGCGTCACCACTACAATCATGAATTTGTAGCAACTATGATTACCTGCATAAGATCCAGCTGTCAACACCCCCTAAAAGAGAAACATCCCCCACACTCACCCACGTCCCTGTGAAGAGCTACTGGCAGGAGAAGGTTACATGGGGGAGTGTGATGGCTATTCTTGGTTGTCAACTTGATTACATCAGGAATTAATTAAAACCCAAGTGGATGGGTATCTTTAATCTGTGCCACACTTTCTGCCAACCGCCCATATAAAGGACATAGAAAAGGAAGCTCTCGCCCTCTCTCTCTCTCTCTCTCTCTCTCTCTCTCTCTCTCTCTCTCTCTCTCTCTCTCTCTCTCCCTGCTTGCTCTAAATCTCTCAGGCAAGTCCATTCCTTCACTGGTGTTACAGTCTACTTCTTTGGGATTCTGCTGTATACTGATGACCAACTGAGCCATCCAGCCTCATGGACTGGACAACTATTAAACTCTTGGACCTTCTTGATAGACAGCTATTACTGGACTAGCTGGACCACAGTCTGTAAGTCATTCTAACAAATCCCCTTTAGGTGGGTAAACAGACAGGAAGGAAGGAAGAATGAATGGATGGATTAGATAGATAGATAGATAGATAGATAGATAGATAGATAGATGATAGAAAGATCCTATCAATCTGTCTCTCTACAGAACCCTAAATGATATAGGGAAAGAGAGTTTTTCTTCAGTACTACAACCACTGGTAAATTACTTATGCAACAGTAAATATCCCACACCCATGCTCAGACAAGATTTTAAAAAAATATGAATGACCCACACTTAAGGCCTATACATATATGTCCTCCAAGGCCACACTTGCTGCTTTCCCAGGAAAACTCAAACAAGATTAAACGTTTTTTTATTGTAAAAAAAAATCTTAACTTCCCCTGTAACCCGTCTGACTCATGGTTATACCAATACACAGGAGCCATTCCAAGATTCACTTAGGTTCCTTAGCAACTCTTTGAGATACAACTTCAGAAGCCAGGAAAGCAGAAGATATGATTACTATAATGATACTTAATTGCAACTTTCCTTCTGAAAGCTCACACCTATGTTCTTGTGAAGGACTGGGCTTCACAAGATTGAGCTCCAGATTCGTCGGGAAATGCTGTCTCAAAAAAGTAAAAAAAAAAAAAAAAGGGAAGGGGCTGAATAGTGACAGAGGAAGACACCTAACACTGACCTCTGGTCTCCACATGTATGAACACACACATATGCACATATACACACGCAAAGAAAGGCTCTATACTATGGTTAGGACCTGGCACCCAGTATTGAAACCCCTGTCCTCTGTAAGCCTGAATCTAAGCTGCCTATAAGTGGACCTGTTCCATTTCTTTAAAAAGAATAAGATGAGCTGGGCACGGTACACACAGCTCTCGGGAGGCAGAGGCAGGTGGATCTCTGTGAGTTCGAGGGCAACACTAAGGGATTAGCAGTACCCTGACAAACCCCAAGCCCACATGGCCTGATTCCTTTCCACCGCCATCTAGGCTCTGCTTGAGAGCCTCCGTGGGCTTAACGCACGCCTTCAGTTGTTCCCTATGGACAGGGACACATGCTGTTCCCTCCTGACACTACTGTTTCCTTTTCCTAGGGAGAAAAAAAAAGGTTACCTCCTCCTTCAAACTTGCATAATTTTTTTTAAAAGATTTTTCCTTTTTCGCCAGGCGGTGGTGGCACACGCCTTTAATCCCAGCACTCGGGAGGCAGAGGCAGGCGGATCTCTGTGAGTTCGAGGCCGGACTGGACCGACAGCCTCCAAAACAATACAGAGAAACCCTGTCTCGTAAAGCCAAAAAAAAAAGATAAAGATTTTTTCTTTTTTGTGTTACACACCAGTGCTTTGTCCAAATGTGTATCTGTGGGTCACATGCATGCCTGGTGCCTTCAAAGGCCAGGGTTCCAAATGGCACCAGCTGCCATGTGGGTCTGAGGAACTGAACCCAGGTTCTCTGGAAATGCTTTTAAGGGCTGAGCCATCTCTCAGGCCCCAGTTGTATAATTTTTTTATTACTTTATTACTGGTGTGTATAGGCTGGAGATCACAGCACAAAGTTATGGCCTTCTACCTTCATATGGGTTCCAAATATGAGCCCAGGTCATGGGGATTTCGTAGCAAGCACCCTTACCCACTAAACCACCTAACTGACTCTTGTTGACATCTTTATTTCCAAATGTAAATGTTGGTTAGCTTAAGTAACACAATGCGCTTAACAGCATTGACTGCTCCTTGGAATCTAGATTAATGGCGCAGCTCTACTAAATGTGCCAGGCACAGAGTTCGATTCATAGGGAGCCACGGCTTCCAAGTTCCCAAGCCTGCCCTGACTAGCCGCATGGCTTTAAGCAAGTGGTTTAACACTGCGGGCCTTGAGCCCATCTTCTGTGAGTGGTGTTATATGCGTAATATGAGGGCAGAATGAATTAATTCAGAATATTCTCAACTTGGTCAACTCAGTCTATTTTATTTTATCTCAACACCAAAACTTCTCAACAGCATCTTTAAACTTGTTTCCTCATCACTAGAGGAAATGTTGTTAAACACTGGGAGCTGCACTCATCCCTTATACAATAAAGATTGTTTTTACAGTTTATTTATTTTTATTTATTTTGTGTCTTGCCTGTATGTATGTCTGTGTGAGGGCGTCACATGAAACTGGAACTATAGACGGTTATGAGCTGGAGGAATTGAACGAAGTTCCCCTGGAAGAACAGTCAGTGCTCTTAACCACCGAGCCATCTCTCCAGCCCCCAATAAAGACTGTTTTACAAAACTATCTAAAAAAAAGCATATATCCAACATACAATATCCAACATACAATAATGCCAGCACTTGGAAAGTAGGAGCCTGAGACTAAAATCTCCCTCGGCTACAAGGCAAATTTGAGGCCAACCTAGGCTAAATGGGACCCTGTCTCAAGAAAACAAACCCCACAAAAGAATCGATATGCAAAGCATGGCTCCAGAGTCCATACCTTTCCACTACAAATCATTTCATAAGCAAACACGTCAGAGCCTTTGCAAGAGCCAGCGTAGATTTAAAAGTTACAAGATGATTAAAGCTAAAGAACAAAAGCTGTGTGGCAACACAGAGGAGCAGCAGTTGAGAGCCAGCATTCTGAGGCTGACTGGCATCAGAGGCAACCTTCCAGCTCACGCTGCCTAACAGTGGACCTGTTTCCATTTCCTTAAAAAGAGTAAGATGAGCTGGGCGCACGGTACACACAGCTCTCGGGAGGCAGAGGCAGGTGGATCTCTGTGAGCCACAGGACAGTCTGGTCCACACGGAGCACGCCAGAACAGCCAGGGCTATAACAGAAAGACTTCTACAGGAAGAAAAAAAACCAGCAAAGATGAGGCAGATCATCTCTGAAGTGTCTTCGAAGTCAAATTTCAATGACCGTAAACCAAACAGCTGTAGGGATTTTCTTTTGAACGCCCCGGCCCCCTGCCCCGACCCCCGGAAAGACAGAAGCTTAACAGGTGCGCACAAACAGCTCTCAAAAGAGTTCGCAGGGGATCTTCGCTTTAAGAAATTTGCTCAAGTAACTCAGCAAATCTACTTTAAAAGTTAGGTAAGTCAATGCCAACAGGTGACGGAGACTCACACAAACTGCAATCTGTGGGTCAAAGTGTCACCATGACACCCAGTGCTTCTAGCCAAGCTAAGCACTGCCTAGAAAGAAAATAAAATCCAGAGGGTGCACTTCTCACGCAGTGGACTGTGGTGACAGGCGGCTTAAACAGACCTTCTCGACTCACACCTGCGGGCTTGTTAGCGATCCTGACCTGGCACAGTCTCCTCGGACAGCACAGGCTCACACAGCCTTAACTATCCAAGCAGCCATCCACGGTTGCCCCCTTTTCAAAGTCGCTGCAAAGACTGCAAGCGAGCACGTGAACTGTAGGAACTCTTTTTTTTTTTTTTTTTACAAGCCGCCCTTAAAGCTACGGGGGAGAAGCCAGCAGCTCCGCCAGACACTGGGATAACCCCCAGCACACCCCTCGGAGCGGTGTCTCTCAGTCGGAAGGCCATCCACGCCCGGAGGAGCTCAGGGAGGAGAGAGCTCGGCCCGCGTCTGTCAGCGCCCTCGGGCGCGAGCGTTCCCCCCGGGCAGAGGAGGGGGGCGAGGATGCCCATGCCAGGACGGGAGTGCGAGCACAGCCTGCTCCAGTATCCGGGCCTGGGGCAGCCGGGGATGCGACGCGGATGTCGCCTGGGAACCCGGGGCAGGCAGGCCCATGCAAGCCCCGGCACTGCTCACCTTCAGCGTCCACAGCAATTGCTGCGGGGGCCGCCGCCAAGGCCTCCTGGCCGCCGCTTGCGCCACCGTCCGGATCCACAGTCCCGCCATTGTGGACCCAGCAGACCGGCTCGCCGCTGACCTCTCACCCCTAGTCAAGGGGCGGAGAAGGGGAGCGTCCGGGATACGGCCAATCAGGAGCCTCGGGTCCTAAGCTCCGCCTCCCCCGGATGAGGGGTAGAGGAGGGACCCGTCCCGCCGCGGAGCAGCTCCAGAGCGGCCGGGGGACGCTAGGCCAGCGCGCTAGGACCCGGAGGGAGCCGATGGCGGAGCCCCCACGCGGTCTTGTTCCCCTCCCCGGTGCTGAAAAAGCTGGCTTGGAGCCCACGTGCAGCAGCCACAGAGCCACCGTCAGCCAATCGGGTGCCTTCATGCCCCCTTTTAATTTCCTGGTGGCTATTTTGAAACTAGCGTCACCTGGAAACACCTCTGTATCCTGGACCCTATGCTCAATTACCACGCCTGTCCTACGGAATCAATCTGAAAGAGTCGACGAAGCCAGCCAAGCTGCAGCTGCATGCACGGGAGAGCCGGAAATGACAAATGCAAACAGAGTCAGCTGTGTCACGGGCGCCAGGGGCTGAGCCTGTTTTTGTTTTTGTTTTTGTTTTTCCCCTAGTTAGGAAACTCGGTTTTCCTGGTCCTTCCCTCTTCTCGCTGCAACCCTCACTTTTGCTCACTGGGTGAGTTTTCTTTAGGTCCTGTTTTTATTACAGAGATTCCTCCAGTGAGAGGGGCCTGTAGAAGAAACTACTGGTCATTCATTGTTCTCCATTCGTTTTGCGAGAAAGCTCCACCGGCACCCACCGGAAGATCCAGGTGCCAGCTTACAACATGATGTGTCCGTAGTGGGGCATATGAAATGTAAGGACCGTGATGTTGGAAAGGGAAGAATACGGTGTGGTTGACTCTCGTCCCTCTAATCCCAGCATTCAGAAGCCGGAAGCAAAAGAAGGATGATGATGATGATGATGATGTTAGATGCGGGGGTACGGGCCTCAAAAGTTCAACATTTAGGAAGCTGAAGCAGTAGGATCAGGAGTTTTAAGACCAGCCTGAGATATATATATATAAGAACCCGTCTAAAAACAAACCCAAAAAGGGCGAGGGGAGTATGTTCTCTGTGCCCTGCTCTTCCTTGTCTAAAATGAAAACGCGGTGGATCCTGGAGCAGTCATATGGAACCAGAAGTTCACCATATCATGAACCTCGACCATAATATGAAAAGCCCAGGTGGCTGACACTGTAGAGCCCGCAACCGCAACCTCATACTGCGCTGAGTGTCATTCGAGAATAGCTAACCTTTTCCTTATTCAAATCTCTGACAGTCTGTCTGTTGGGCCGGCTTACCTCATTAACTTTTCCGAATGATATGTGAACCACTGTCACGAATGTGAATAAATGTCCACCCTAGTTAGGGTACTCTTGGAAGGCCAAGTAAATGGCTCTACCCATCTGGCTTGGTGAACCAGTGAATTTAACTGGGATTACTTAGAGCATTGATAACTTAAGGGTTGCTAACCCCACCAGAGAAAAATGTTCCCACCCAGCAACCATCAGCCATTAGATATCAGAGACAGAACCTTCTGAGTCTGCCCTACCTACCCTTCACAAGGGAACACAATGGTTTTGTTTTTTTCATTAATGGAACATTAATCTTATGAGGGTCTCATCTGTGTCATCGCAGGTGTTCTGGTTTCAAAAATAACATCCACCACGTTATGGTCAGAGGACAGTGTTTCCGGAACACAGCTAAGACTGTATTCTAACCAGTTCATCATTTAGTCTCCAGAAGGAAGGCAACCCATCACCATGATTGATGGGAGATGTCATTCTTTAAATCTGTCTCTCTTATTGGTTATTGAATAAAGCACTGTTGGCCAATAGGGAAGCAAGATAAGTGGGACTAGGAGTCAAGGAGGATTCTGGCAAAGAGAGACACAGAATCAGACACGATGTAGGCCACCAGAGTAAGAGGTCCAGACCCTTTTCTCAGGTAAGAGAAATACTTAGATTGACAATCATGGGTTAAATACTTAAGTCAGAGCTAGCCAGTAAGAAACAAGCAAGCGGCCAACAGCTTCATAATTAATATAGCGTCCTATGTGTTATTTGGGGACTGCAACTGTGGCGGGGCCTAGGCGGCTGGCAAAGAAAAATACGCTCTACACACGATGAAGCCTGAAATGCGTAACAACTTAATAGAGAGAACCCCAACCATGTGAACAAGGAAGCTTATGGCTCTTTAAGACCACTGCATGCTTTTGGTAAAACCATCACTTTCAACATCATAGACAACATTGATGACACTGTCATTAATGGAACCTGCCTCTGCCTCCCAAGTGCTGGGATTAAAGGTGTGCACCACCAACACCCAACTGGAACACACAATTCTAAGACAATGTGTCCAAAGGAAAATTGGTCATTCCAGATGGGTATTGTTACCATAGAGGATTTGTGTCTTGTAGTTTGTGGTGCTTCCTGTTAGTAATGTCTGAAAAGATTACTCCTTATATTTCATCTAATTTTCTCTTCTTGAGATTTACCACATTTTATGTGTATGAATGTTTTGCCTACATGTCCATGGAAGTCAGGAGAAGGACTGGAGTTACAAAAGTTTGCCAGCCACCACGTGGGTGCAGAAAACTGAACTTGGATCCTCCATAAAAACAGTGCTCTTAACCACTGAGCTAGAAATGATAACCGTGATGAAGTAACTGTTTCTCACAGGCCCTTCCATGCCTCCTTTCTGACATTCCCATTTAGCAGTCAAGCATTCGTAGCTTCTCTTGCTCACCTCTGCCAACACTTGAGGCAAAACCGTTTGTCTTCTTTATCTGATTCTTGTAGAGTAATCTTTGGCAGAGTGTTAGCAATCGCTGGACCTTTGCTCTGAAACACTAAACTCCTACCCCTAAAACAATACTGCATTCTACCAGTCAAAGTGGGATCTTCTAGATGCCATCTGTTAGCGGGTTTTTGCCTTAGTCTTACCCACCCAGAACCCTCACCAAATGAGTCTAAATGCAAGCCAAAGCATCCTTGCAAAGAATTCCATAATGCAGATAGGTAACTTTTTCCCACAAAGGGACACAATAAATATTTAATACATTAAGAGCCACATACATCTCTACTCAAGTATGTGCGAAAGTCCTTTTAAAATGTTTTTGTTTGAATGTTCTGTTTTTGAGAACTGGAAAAGCCAGCCATGAAGATACCCACAACATGGAAGGAGAGAACTAACTCCCACAGATTGTTCTCTGGCCTGCACATGGATGGCATGGGACACACACACACACACACACACACACACACACAATATTTTTTCTATCTGAAGAGTAGAAGTAGTGCACTGAATAAAAGATGATAATATCCAGGTGTATTTTTATTTATATTTTTTGTATGAGCATTTTGCCTGCATGGATGTATGTGCACCACATTTGTCTGATGCCTGTAGAGGTCAAAAGGCATCAAATCCTTAGAACTTGAGTTACACACAATTATGAGCCACCCTGTAGGCACTGGGGATTGAACCTGGGTCCTCTGAAAAAAAGCAGCTAGTGCTCTTAACTGTTGAGCCATGTCTCTACCCCTAATAAAATCCAACTGTGTACAACTCCATGCAATCCCTCTTCTAAACAGCCCATGAAATACCTGTCACACTCTCAACTTTGGCCCAGAATAACATTCATGAAGCTTTCAACAATCATGCTTTACATACAAGACCATTTCATTCTGGCCACAACTTACTAAATAACAATATGAGCCCAATTATTATGTCAATTTGGAAAATTCTCAGGGGTGGGATCCCCAACCCCACCCTCAGATCTCTGTCCACAATTATTTTCATGGAAGCAAAGGGAAAATACTGAATGACAACTGTCAATCAGGCTGACATACTGGACAATCTAACTCCTATCTACACCAGGAGAACAGTAACATTGTAAGTTCTGTTGTTCCAAAGCTACTTGTTTGTTCTTACTAACAGGAGTAGACTAAGGATAATCTTAACTCTTTTGAGTTCCAAAAGATCACATAGTTACAATGTGTAAATTCTATATCAGATAAAGGAAGTAGATAAATACTCCAACCAGTGATCTGAATGTGTCTTTCAAGCTTTGGACTCTGAAGGTAACAATTAGCTTTAGGCTCTACATCAGATAAGGCAGTTGATGAAGGTGAACATCTAGCTGGCAGCAGAGAAGGGACAACCAATCTGGGCATTGTGAGTCCAGAACTTGTGTAATACACTGTGCTAAAAATCCTCTACCACCCACAGCTAAACACTGAACTGAACTCCTGGAATCCAGTGACAGAAAGGGAGAACTGATGAGCAAAGGCGTTAAGACTGAGCTGGTTTAACACACAGAAACAGTTGACCTTAACAAGGGGGAGCCCTTGGACCCCAGATTGATGGCTGTGTGGAAAGCATGGGACTGACCCAGACCCCCTGAATGTGGGTGTCAATGAGGAGGCCTAGGTAATCTATGGGGCCTTGGGTAGTATTTATCCCTGGCATACAAATAGACTTTAAGTGCCCATCCCACAATGAGGGATGCTCTCTTAGCCTGCACTCTTGAAGAAAGGCCTAGACCCTATCCTGGATGAAATGACAGACTCTGGAGATCCTCCATGAAGGGCCTCACCCTCCATGGGGATCTGAGTGGAGATTGGGGGAGCTGGGGGACCTGGTGGGGAGGGCGGGGCAGAAGGGGAGGGAGAGGTAGTTGGGATTGACATGTGAAACAAGCTTGTCTCTAACTTTAAAGGGGGAGGGGACCGTCTACACCCATGGCTCCAACTGTAGCTTTTAATTTTTTTAAAAAAGGTTTACTTATTTCTATTTTATGTGTATGAGTGTTGTGAAACATGTATGTCTATGCTGTGCTAGAAGAGAGTGACAGGTCCTCTGGAACTGGAGTTACAAACAGTTGTTCGCTGCCAAGTAGGTTCTGGGAACTGAACCTGGGTTCTCTAGAACAGACATTGCTTTTTACCACTGAACCATTTTCCCATCCCTGTTCTTGTCTCCTGCAGGCCTGCTTCTTTCAGAAGGGAAACAGAGGGGGAGTGGATCTGAAAAAAAAAAAAGAGAGAGATCAGAGGAGCTGG